CGAGTTCAGAGAGATGTGAGAGGAATGGCACAGAATGCACCCGGATTCTGAACAGAAAACTTACATGGATCACTTTCCAGGACCACTTTCACCTGAGAATCTGTGGTTATAAGAAATAGAAACCACAGTCACCGACCTTGTAGGGCTTAAAAGTCATTCAGTGACAAACAATTAGGTGTCTTTGTAAAAGTGGTAAGAACACTATACCATCACGGTCCAGGCAGAAAGCTAAGCTAAGGGTACCTTAATTTGGACAATGTGAAGAGAGTTTAATAAAGAGACTATTTTTGAAAGTGTGAGCAACCCAAGTGGGTAACACAGTGTCCCAGCGGCCAGTAATAACACCAATGGGGCAGGGGCATCCTTCACCGAGGGGAAGTCCTGGGCCTAAAGGGATGAGAGGAGGGAGCAGTTACCAGAGCTGGGAGACAGAGCATGGTAAGGAGAGGACCACCTGACAGGACCAAAGACTCCTCGTCCTACTGGATGATCCTTATGACTGTGGAGGGAGCAGGGACTGGTGTAAGCCTGCAGAAGGGAGGGATAAGGAAAAGCTCTGGGAGGCCAAAGGGAGGATACATAACACAAATGCTAGCAAAGCCATGTAAAACAGGGCAAACAATGAGAGCCCTAGACTGGGTGAGGTTCGAATATATTTTCTCTCAGTCACCTCCCAAACGATATAATACCTTATGTATTTTTGCTGGTGGACATTCACAGATCTATTGGTTCTTTACGATTGTCATACAGCACCGGCTGTTTTTCATCCATCGGGCATCCCCCTGGATTTGTTCTCCAAACGATCTAAGCACTCAATGGCAATATATATGCTTTACCCAATATGGCAGTATCATAGAATACCTGAAAATCTGAACATAGAACCATGTAGCCAACCTTAGTCAAATAATTTTCCATCAGATATCCTTACTACTCATTCCTTTATTCAACAAATATGTTTAATGATCTCCTACTCGTCAGGTGCTGTGCTAGACACAGGGACGCAACAGTCAACAAGGCAAGTCCACTTCTGTCTTCATAGAGCTTTCAGCTGACTATCAATCATTCTAATTTATAACACCTTGTGTTCAGTAGAAGAATCTCAGAAGTGCTATATATCAGAGGTTGGCAAACTATGGCCCATGGGCCAACCAAACTTCTATAAACCATGTTTTATTGCAACAGCCATGCACATTCACTTATGTATTATCTATCGCTGCTTTAGTGCTACAACTTCAGAGTTGAATAGTTGCCGCGGAAACAGTATGACCTGCAAAGTCTGAAGTATTTACGATCCGGCCCTGTACAGAAAAATCTGTGAACAATTGGCTCTAAATAAAACCTAATGCTTTAAGGATGTACATTATAGAACAGATACTGTCACTCATAAAACATCCCTGGATGCCCTAGTTACAAACCAAGTCAGGAAGGGGGTTGTCTACCTGCAGGGTTGTATTTCTACTATTATAGGTTTTGTTTTGTTTTGTTTTCTTCTTTCATTGTAAAGGCAGATAACAAAAAAGTATGTGATTAATGCCTTCTATTACCAGCTCTCTTCAGATGATGTTCTCATTGTCTTATATCTAGTCTTTTGATTGATCAAACTTCTTCCACTTCATAGAAGGCCCATTTTTAAAAAGATCCTTTTCTCTGAATCAGCCAAACATATTTTGACAGGGGTGACTTTAGGCCATCATTTAAATTGAACAATAAAATTGATTGTAAAATCACTTAGCCAACACTTAAGTGCTATATAAATGCAAAATCATAGCAGCAATAATACCTTTGTTTCCCTGAAGATAGAAACATGAGTAGATGTTTATTCCCCAATTATTGACTCAGAGAGCATTACAATTTTAAATGAAAGAAAAAATAAAACTAGCTTTCATTGGCTGTTACCAAAAATTCTTATTAAGAAGCGACAGAATCCCCGCTGGTTGTGGTTCCTCCAAAGGATGTTAAGAGGCTAAGTCAGTAGTGGCTGTGGATGATTATTGATTTGCCATTACCCAAACCCTTTCTTTTACCTAATGGGAATCAATGCAGCATGAATAAAATTAAATGGCCACTTAGTTCACATTTAGTCACTATAATGCAGCAATAACTGGTGTTAGAAAGATCCTTGCAAAGCCTTGGTTCCTGAAAATTTTCTCACCCCATTAACCTACTGATAAAATCCATTTCAGTGCTCAAGAGATGGTGCACTGAGCCCATCAGTGAACAGCAAACCAGGAAGTAGATGATAATAGAGAGGCAGCATGGGAAAGGGATGGCTGACATGGTAACAAGTGAGATCTCTTTTAGGTACCAGCTTTAACATTCTAACCTTGAAAATGCTTTTCTTGATACCCTTTGACCATGACAGTCCCTTCTAATACATATGTTCTTAATACTCTATACTCCTGTTTCCCATCAGTTATCACAATTGCAACTGGATAATTCCTTATTTAATTAGTTGTTTGATGTCTCTGTCTCTCAGTGGCAAGTCAATTCCATTGAGCTCATTACCTGTCTGTTCAGAACAGAAATCTCAACAACGTAAGACGAGCACCGAAAAAGATATTATTGTAGTTGACTGACCTAACAAATGAATGGGTAGGTAAGCAAGCTAGATCCTAGGCACTCTGCCAGCATATAAGAAAGGTTTGGTGGTTCTGGGATATGCTCCTTGATAACTATTGGCCAGTGTCTTCTGTCTTTATATACCATGAGTTATGTTCTAAGACTATGCACTCATTGCAAACCAACCCTTTGTACCTTCTCCACCAACCATCTCCTTTCTACTCTTTCAATCTTTTTTTCTGTACTGACTCTTATCTCTCAATATATAATCACACTCAGGTTGCTCCCAGCTGTATCAACCCTGCGACCAGGACTAGCTGTTCTTACCAAGGTTGAAAATGACATCATAATTGCCAAGCCTTCTGGCTTGCAAATTCTCATTCTACTTCTCGTAGCATCTGACCCTAATGGCCACTCCCCTATTCTTAAAACACTTTGCTCTCTGATTTCAGTGGCACTACTCCCAATTATCCTTTTATATTATGCCCTGTCAATTCTATAACCTAATATATCTAAAAATGTGTCTACTTTTTCCTCAAACCATTGATACCTGTTGTCTTTATGACTGCATCAGCCCTCTGACTGATCTCCCAACTCCCTCCAATCCATTCTTCACAGTGCAATCATATGTTTACCTCAAAAATGCTCCAAAGTGACCTGGCCTAATTTAACTGGCTCTATTAAATTGTGACTTTGGCCTTCAGCTTCAAGTGTCTTTGTATAGCAGAGTTTAACGTACATATAACATACAATGCCCTATGAGAGAGCTAAAATATTCTCTCTGATCTTCACAATATCCACTGAACTCCAAACATCTTTATACAGAGGGTGCCAAAAAAATGTGTACATATTTTAAGAAAGGAAAAAAACTGTATTAAAATTGTAATACAATGAATGATGCTAGCATTTATTTGATTAATACCATCTTTTGAGTGAACATCATACTACACATTGCTACCATAATTCAAACCAACTTTGAAAAGTAATACATAGATAACATCCTTAAAATGTGTACATGTTTTTGGCACACTGGTATATGCTAAAACATATTGAAGGTAACATTTTCTAAGCTTTAACAAGGCCTTCAAAATACTGGTTTTGAAAATCTCGTTCCAAATACTGGTATTCTCACCATTATTCATGAAATAAAAATAAAAACCATACTGAGAGTCATCAATTTGTGCCCCTGACCTTCATTCTCAAATTTTACCTATGAATTTTATCATTTGTGGTCCATTTCTCCACTCTAAAAGTCACCCATATAACACACGCTCCAGATTATACATGCTCTCTATTGCACTTGATCTAAAACCCTCCTAAAGCACTAAGTCTTCTCAAATAAAAACAAATAGAATAGTGGATAGCAACTCACAAATCTCTGCCAAAAGACTGAGTCTCATTGCAGCCACATGATATACTGGAATCTCTCGGTTTTAAATAGAAAAAAGGCAATACAAACAAGCCCAAGAAAGTGATCAATGTGTATAATTAATGAGACACAAATATAGCCCTTGACAAATATATCCTGCTCATGAACAGAGTCCATGTTATTATGTGGTTTTTTTTCTATAGTATGAGCATTTGATGAATATTAAACAGTTTGTTTCTTTGTAATCTGTGAATCCTAATGGGATTCATGTCCAAAATGTGTTCAAAGCCTTTCATAATTCAGTCCAAGCTACTTCTCCCATCTTATTCCCTGCCACTTCAGAAACTCTAGACATACAAAATACAGTTTTCTCCATGCGCACCGGGCTTCTCGCCTTTACTCTTCTCCCTAACCTCTTCATCTATAAAGTTTTCCCCACTTCTGCCTCTATTTCCCAAATATCTGGTACCTATCCCTCCTTAAGATGCCAGCTTCTCCATGAAGCCTCTCTGTCCTACAGCATTTTATGTGATCCTTCTAATGAAATGTCACCCTTTTCCCTGAATGGTTATGTATCTCTATATCCATCTCTAGCACAAGCATGTGAGATCCTTAAATGAGGAGACTGTCCCATCTTTGACACTTAATAGCACTTTACACAGTTCCTCCAATATAACAGGTGCTCAATAAAAGATCTGCTAAACGAATGGATTTGCCAACCCCACCGAAGGCCTCAAAACACAGGCCTCTTCTTCCCCCAGGAAGCCACAGGAACCATTTTGGTGTTCAAGCCAGGCTTGAATAAGCTCAGAGGCGTGAACCATCCCAGAGAAATCCACAAAGTTGTGTGCCTATGCTTCAGTGACTCCTGAAGCTCCAATGCAGCTGCGATTAATTTAACTTGACAATGATAAGCCCCAACAGTGTGTGGAGCTCCACACAGCTGCAAACGGTGAGAACTCAGGGCCAAGCCCAGGGCACGAGAAAGGCACGTGCGGCCCGCGGGGGTGGAGGGCAAGGCAGGAGGGCGTGGTGGGGGAGGGGAGCGGGTGCAGGGCGCTTCCCCACCTACCTTTGGGGCTCCCGCAGAGGAGGGAGGGCTCCCTTAGCGGGGAGCCAGGGCAGGAAGCGTTGGGGCAGGAACTCTGCGCCATCCCCTGGACAGCGGGGTGCTGAGTGCCGGCCCCGGCGGCCAGGCACCACACCGACTAGTGGAACGCTGCCCAGCTCTCCTGCTTTCTTCCCTTAGGGAAGTGACAGGCAGAAAGTCCCAGAGACCACAAGCCCCAGAGGGCCCCTCGGCCCACTCGCCCACTCGGTCCACTCGGTCCAGTCAGCTGGGTTGGTTGCTTGTTGGAAAGAGCCGGTTCCGCGACAAGTGGAGAGAAAGCGGCCCCACGCTCTGCGCGGGAGCCCAGGAAGCCTGGAGTTCTTCAAGGCTCTGCGAAGGAAGAGGAAGTCCCGGTCGCTTCCTAAGGAGTGCGCCCCCTCGGGTTTGCTAGCCGGAAAGTAAAATCGGGTCTTTGAAGACAAAAAAAAAAAAAAATCCTTGGAAAGGCTTCACATGGAAAGAGATTCATTGATTCTAATGGGGAGGGAGGAACTTCAAGACCTGAGGAAATGAGTTCTAAAAAAGTATTTTTTTTTCAAAGGTCAAATTAGATTTTTATTTCTTGCAAGAAATTGTAATTATTATAATGACTTTGCTAATTTTTTACCTTTCACGTAGTTTTAAATCTGTGCTCTTAATCATGTTTTGCCTTAATGTCGTTCTAAAATTTTTTCATACTTTGGAATTCTAACTGGACTCTAAGCATCCTCTGTAGTCTTTAGTGTTATATTACACACACTGCTTGGTTGCTATTGGGTAGAAGTTTCAACATATCTTTATAGAATAAAATGTCAAGCATTTCTACATGAAGGTCTGTTCAGTTTATTTCGCTAAATGAATGAATCTTCTTTATTAAGATACCCATTTGCATCCAGTCAGTTATTGTAAATTTCTTTAAAAGGTTAAACATCATTGCTCTAAGCATCTGCCCACTAAAGAGTCAATGATTTTAAGATTATTGTAATTTGTTTAATATATCATTCTTCATTAATTCTGCAGAAGTAAATTTCAGGTAATCCAAAACTGAATTACCCTGAACTCCAAATTAATGAACACTGGATTAATGTTTACTGTATTTGTGTTCTTATTTGAGAAATGTAAAATCCAATCATACTTCATCTATCACAGAGATAATCAAGAGTCAAACAAGGGAAATGTTGCAAATTTGCCTTGTGCAGCTGCCTGTGTGAAATTCATTTCAATACCACTCATTCATTCATTATGCAAATTGGATTGAACGCCTATTAAGTGCCAGGCACTGAGTGAGGCATGATATTGCCCTTTATATGTGTACAGTCTGCTAATAAATGCATAAACAAACTATTAAAATAAAGTGAAATCCCTGAAATCCTATTGGAAAATTTTAGAGTCAGTTTTAACAAAAACATATCCTTTCTTTCCAAGCCTTGCATACATATCTATTGACCTGAATAACATTTACAATTTTCTTGGAGCTTCTGAAGAGGTAGTGGTTATGGATTTTACAAAATATATACAGTTAACCTGCCCCCCAATCCTTGGTTTCACTTTCCCCGATTTCATTTACTCAAAGTCAACCATGATCTAAAAATAAAAAATGGAAAATCCAGAAATAAACAATTCATAAGTTTTCTTTTTTTATTTCTTTTCTTTCTTTCTTTCTTTATTTTAGCTGAGCCATCCTGCCACCTGTTGCTCAGAGCTTGCAATCTTAAACGAGCTCTTAACCAACTGAGCCACTCGGCCAGCCCACATTTCATAGGTTTTCAATTGTGTGTCATTCTGAGTAGTGTGATGAAATCTCTCAACTCTCAAATCTCATGTTGGCTCACTCCATCTCAAAACAGAGCTTGCATCACTTAGTAGCCATCTTGGTTATCAGATCTACTGTGGTGAATCCCAAGGCTGTGTTCAAATAACCCTTATTTTACTTAATAATGGCCCCAAAATGCAAAAGTAGTGATTCTGGCAATTCTGATATGCCCAAGAGAAGCCATAAAGTGTTTCCTTTAAGTGAAAAGGTGAAAGTTTTCCACTTACTGCATTTTATCATCTCACCTCATCACAAGAAGGAGGGTGAATACAGTACAATAAGATATTTTGAGAGAGCACATTTACGTAACTTTTATTACAGTATATTGTTATAATCTAGCTTATTATTAGCTATTGTTAATCTCTTCCTGTGGCTAATTTATAAATTAAACTTTATCGTATGTGTGTAGGTATAGGAAAAAACAGTATATACATATAAAATGTTTTGTGCTATCTCCAGATTTGGGCATTTCCACTAGGGGGGTCTTGGCATGTATCCTCCAAAAATAAGGGGGAGAGGGGCTACTGTAATGAAAAATAACTTCCATGAAAATTGTACAAATTTTCATGTTAATTTTTGTCTTACTTATTTCTAATGGGGTTATATAATTAATAAACAATACATGTTTGTTGAATAAAGAAATTAATTTATCCCCAGTATCTTAGAATATTTAATTTGTGCCTTTTAGAAAATACTTTTTTTTAAATGTTGTGACATGGCTGTGTGTGCCTTGGCCCAAAAAACTTTCCTAAAGGAGTTTATAAAGAACAGAGAAAGGTGAGAATGTACAAAGTTGCCCCTAGGGTCTCTTCCTGTGGTTCATTGTATTTAAATACAAATTATTTGAAGGGGTGTTGAGTAGAGAGGCAGGACAAAACATCTTAGAAAGTCATACTTCTCTCATGTAATGGTTTCAGGAGAGCAAATTCATTAAATGTCAATCTTTTGTACATATAGCAGAGGAAATTATTAATGGCACCTATATGAATTTTCAGGTTCCAAATAAAAAAAAGGAAATAGTTTTCCTCTATGCAAAATATAAAACCTTAGATGAAGGATACTAATTTATTTTTAGCTGGTTTAATATAAACCTAAAATAAGTAAAATGGATCAAATGAGGTCAAAAATATAATCAAGAACAACATTAATTCTAAAAAGGTTATTTTAACTATAAAGAATAGAATTTCTGAGAAATGCCAAATAAGAATGTACATAATAAATTATATTTTTAAAAGCCTATTGTTAAAAATATTTGTTTTAAAAAAACAATTTACATTATTTTATAATATAAAATTATGGAAATGGTAGTAAGCCATTCTATCAAAAAACAGAAACTTCATGAATAATTCCTAGGCCAACACCATTACACAAGGAGAAAATTATTAGCTCTGTGTTCAATTCAGCAGTTCAACATTTATTATGTTAGGTACTAAGTATAAATAAGGAAGTCCTTGTACTCAATGACCTTGCCATCTAGTAAGGGTGCCAAATTTTGCTATCAAATAATAATAACTAGTAAATACTGAACACACACACTCACTATGCCAGGTAATCATGGACTGCCTGATTTAATGAATCCTCACAAAATCGTTATGGACCAGGTACTGTTTTTAATCTTTATTTTATAATGAGGAGACTAAAATTTATACTGGCTAACTCATCCAAGGACATTCTGCTCATAGATGGTGGAGCTAGGACTCGCACCCTAGTCTATTTTACTCAAAAATACATAAACTTAATCCTTTTACTTTAGCACATTCAGGAAACCAATTAGGCCTCTCTTTAGCTGCCGCCCTTTAATTCCAGGCCCTATTCAGAGTGTTCTATCCACTAATGTATTAATATTTTTATTGGTATCTGAGGCAGTTAGCTCTACAACACTTTTATGTCTTTTAACTATCCACCAGACTTCTTGAACTCAGGTTTCTCTTGGTTAGACTTCTACATGATAACTTTCACACCTGCTTTAATTTCATACCCACGTCTGTCAGCACTCATTATTCTATCACGAATATTTTTTTTCAAATTCATGTAGTAGCCTAACATAAATTTCAGATTATTATCTGATGGTCATTAGAATTAACATTATTCCACAGAATCCTACATATCATTTTCTTCAATAATTCAATGGCTGTTAACACAAAATTAGTAATTTATACTGTGATTTATATAATTATTAGCCTAATTAAAATGACATTTGCAGCTTTTCCCCAACCTTTGTCAATGTGCTATAAGAAGAGCAAAATCCATAAAAGTTTCCAAATGTTTCAGACCATTAAACTACATTAAATGCATGAAAAAAGGAAGTATGTGTTTTAAAAACACTTAATTTTGAATCTAAAAATTCAGAATTGAAGAAAAATGGAAAGATTGAAAATATGGCAGAGGAAAGGAAGCCCTTACAACTGTGAATTACATTTCTTTTTAATATACGTACCTAAGATCACATATTGTAGAAACAATTATTCCTCAAATTATTGTATGTTACTTTACATAAACAGTTATATTTGAGAAGAATTTTAAAAAGTATTTTACAGTAAATTTACATTTTACATTTACAAAGAATGTAAGGCTTTTAAAGTAAACATACATATATATACATATATATATGTAAAGTGAATAATTCTTTTTCATATGAATTTTGCTTTTTTATTTTAATTTTTTAAAATTCATTTTTCAATTACCATTGGCATACAATATTATATTAGTTTCAGGTGTATAAAACAACATAGCTCTGAGGCATGTATGTGTATATATTTCACAAAGTGATAACCCTAATAAGTCTATTAACATCTGACACTGTACAGAGTTATTACAATATTATTGACTGTATCCCCTGTGCTGTACTTTACATCCCCGTGACTATGTGTTGTTTTTTTTTAATTATAGTTGACATTCAACATTTTTATATTAGTTTCAGGTGTATAGTGGTTACACATTTATATAATTTATGAAGTGATCCCCCCAATAAGTTTAGTACCCATCTGATATTATACATAGTTTTTACAACATTATTGACTATATTCCACGTACTATACTTTACATCCCAGTGACTATTTTGTAATTAGCAATTTGTACTTCTTAATCCCTTCACCTTTCTCACCCAGCTGCCCAGCCCCCTCCCATCTAGTAACTGTCAGTCTGTTTCTGTTTTGTTTGTTCATTTATTTTGTTCTTTTTATTTCCCATAAAAGTTAGATCATATGGTATTTGTCTGTCTTAGTCTGACTTATTTCATTTAGTGTAATACCCTCTAGGTCCATCCATGTTGTCATAAATGGTAAGATTTCATTCTCATTTTGTGTCAGAGTAATATATCATCATATATATGTACCACACTTTCTTTATCCAATTGTCTATCAATGGGCATTTCAGTTGCTTCCATATCTTGGCTATTGTAAATAGCGCTGCAGTGAATATTGGGGTGCATATATCTTTCCAAATTAGTGTTTTGGATATCTTCAGATAAATACCCAGAAGTGAAATTACTGGGTCATAAGGTATTTCTATTTTTAATTTTTTGAGGAAC